CTCGATGATCCCAGAGGTCTCTTCCGACCGAATCGATTCTGTGTTTCTGTAATTTGTTGTATTACCTAGCCAGAAAAGCAGTTGCAAGGCAGTGGAAGATGACGAGCAGCACCGTGCGCACTCGGCCTCAGAAGCAGTCGGGGGATGACAGGGAGGTGGTTCCAGCCTTTGTGCTGCTGAACTACCCAGTGCAGCCACCGGTGGGAATTGAAAGGCAGTGGCTCTTTCCTGGTCCTCGTGGGGGAATAGTCAGTGTTTGTGTAAACAAAACCGGTTGGTCTGGGGCACAATATTATTGCACATTTCAGATCAGATACATGCAAGATTATGACTTTGAGCTTGACTGCAGCCTGTGCTGCAGGTTTGAACTGGCAGGCGCATCCTCCGGAACGGATGTTTGTGTCCTACCTGATGCAGTCTCCTGGGGTTTGCCCGGGCAGTTCTTTGGCAGAAATATGAAAAGGCTGTGCCCAGTTTTGTATATTGAATAATGTGGGTAATGGCAGCCCTGCCGCTGGGTCCAACCAAGAGTGTGTGTGTCCCTGGCTCAGCTAGCAGTAACATATTGTCACATTGTTAAAACTGAAGATTTTTAATAACTAGAACTGGCTGTATCCCTCTGTTACCTAGTCAGCTTCAGTACAGATTATCTCTGAAATAACATGCCTAACTGTTAAGAACTTCTGCACTCAATGTATAGTCTTCTCTGGGGTTTTGGGAACAGGACAAGGTATTGCTCCTCTGGGAAAAGGGATCATGTCTGGAGTCTTTCCTAGAGTAAGTATTTCTAGCTTCTTCATCAGTATTTTTTACATAAATAAAAACCTTTTATCTGAAAACTACAAACCTGATTGCTCCAGAAGACCATGTGCACCTTTAACGATAGTGGTGAGATTGGGGAGGGGGTGCCTCCAGCTAGAACAGTTTTAAGCAGAAGTAGCCACCCTTGGTCTGGCAGTGACAGAAGGTTCAGGTACATGCAATGATTGACCTTGTGTAGCTCTTGTGCGCTGTTGCAATGTAAGGTAAAAGATATGTTGACCTCGAGAGCCATCCACGGTGTGGCTTTCCTGCTGTGCTGCAAAATGTACAGTGACAGTACATAAATAGAAAAGCTGTTCTTGGGGACAAATCACCTTTTTGTTGGTGTGGTTTACCTGGCAGTTTGTAGCAATTCTCTTGGCTTTTTCGGCCATGTTGCTACAGTAGCTTCTGATGTTACCTGGGTCTTGTTTTGTGGACAAATGGAGGTTGTGAGCTTGATAAACTGCCAGCTTTTTATTGTCAGTCTGCTTGAACTTGTGGTGGACTTGAGACCTTCAGTGTTGACTGACTTAAGTTTTTGGAGCTCTTCTGGGCTTCACGAAGAGCTCTTCATCATCTTCATCTCATTGGTTAGGAGAATAAATAAGGTCAAGCAATTAATATCAGAGCATGCATCTACCATCAGTTGCCCTTGGGGCGTGCCATGATGCCTGATGTCGGAGAGTCATAGGAGTGGCCAGCCGGGACCCTGGGCGTTATCCCAAGAACAGGAGGAAAAATAACTGCATTCTTACATACCCCTTAGGTTGTCTTCTTGTTTGTTTGTGGTGATTAGCGGTCTGAAGGTAAAACTTGCTGTGTCTAAGTTGACAACTTAGCATGTTAACTCGCGCTGCAAGTTGACGCAAGTCTTTGGGCTGTCTTGTTCTGCCACAGCCCGCTTATCCATGTTGATTTGTAGCTCAGACCGCCAAACAGCCCGTCAGGGTGTTCACATTTGTGAGTGTCGTGTGCTGGATCTGGCTGGATCCAGTGCTGGATTTAGAAGGGCGGTGGAGGAGTTTGTTTTACTGCGGTTGCTGGCAGTCATTTTTCACCCTCCTCCTGAAGTGAAGCAGCTCTTTGCCAGATGTGTGCAGTGTCGGCATGTTCACACCTGCGAAGCAGGTAAACAGGGTTACGAACCCTCTGTTCCTGAGATGTAGCAATTGATCTGGATCTCAGACCCCACCATCACCATCCTTGGTCCTTGAATTGAGAGAGAAGTAACAGGTTCATGCCATGCTGCCTTTTTTTTGACCCCACACAGAAACATGTGATAGCCAGGACGTACGTCTGGCTCTGATGGAAATGGCTAGTTGTCAAACTGTAAACTTGCCTTCTCAATGTGCGTGTGCAGATACAGGGGAGTCCACGCCGATTAAATCCTGATAGAGCTGTGGTTGCTCTAGGTCAGTTAACCCATCAGCACGGAGTCCTCCAGACCTCAGTCTCAGAAGCACCTGAGTATAACAGAGGAAATGTATGCTGGAGCTGCAGATTGTAACTCCTTAATGATTTACCAGGCAAAAGCCACTCTAAAACCTTGCCCTCAGTATAAACATTGCATATTTACCATTTTAAGCAGCATTGCATGTTTTCTGTTTTAAGCAATATTCAAAAGATCAAGATAGGGAGAGAGGTGATACAATCACAGAGCGTCTTTCTCCAGCAAGCAGTGATAAAAGCACTTTGTGTCATGATAATGCCTGCGCATTGTGCAGAAATTTCAGTTCCTTAGACAGAAATGTACCAAATAGTTACTTTTCTTTTTGCTTTCCTCATCTTTCAAAAGATTCAGATATCTGTCTCTGGAAATGTAAAGCTAACGGCTTGACTGGCCTGATGAGTTTGGTTGCCGCATCTTGAACATTTAATTTTTCCTTATGCTCTGGCGTCTGTTATTCTTTAGCACAATCACACTGAATATCAATTAGGAGGCAGGAAGGTGATTGTGGAAAACTTGGGTGAGGGGCCTGAGATGCTGACAGGGATTTTGGCCGTTTTGAGTGGGGATGCATGTTTGCTCTGAATTCTTTCCGAACTTTGAAAACTCTTCAGTATTAAACTACACATGCTCTGCAGTGACATCAGATTTTGAGATCCTCGTGATTTGCATTCCTCTCTCCAAAATCACAATAAGTGGTCTCTTCCGCAGGCAGGAAGACAAGACAAGTGGTCAGTGCCAAAGTTATTTAGCAGATGGTGCTGGAGTAGTGAGCAACATCATCATTTCAAGTGTAAGGCACATAATGGCTGTCTACCGGCCTGGCAAATGAGACCCCCGGTGTTACTCTCATGCTTCCATCTCCCATCCTGCAAGATGCTGCCATCTGTCAAGATACTGAGCCAGGCCTCAAATAAATAAATAAATAAATAAATCCCTTTCCCCCTTTTTTCCAAAGCTCTTGAATAAAAGCCATGTGTATATCTGCTATATATGGGCTTATGTATATAATATATGTGAGGGAGGGGGAAGCATAGATGCAAAAATGAGAAATGCACCTTTGGGTTCTATTAGTTGGGACAGACAATGCTAATGCATGGTAAACATTTTCAGAAAAATATTCTGTCCTTTTGTAAGTTCCGTTGTACATCAAGTGTAAACAGTAATGGCTCTTGTCATGAATTAATCTCCTTTTTCTCTGTCTTTCGACAGAGTGTGACAAGCTGCGGCGGGATGGCTACCGGAGCTCGCAGTATTACTCTCAGGGCCCGACCTTCTCCTCGTCCTCCAGCGCAATCTGTGGAAGTTACCAGGATGATTATGAAGAAATTGAACAAAAGGTAATGGTGGGGGGCAAAGTGCTGGAAAGAATACATGCCTGGTGCACTTTAATTGCCTGCCAGAACATTGTTCAAATAAGGAGGATTTCAAAAAGATCATGAAGATTCCTTGGAATTATGGTGATAGTAGGTCATCTGCCTTCCATAGTCTCTTAAAAATCCCAGTTCTACCCATGCACTTATATAAAGTTCCCGCTGGCATGTTCAGGGTGTGAAAGCCAGAGGGAGTTTGATAATGTTCTGGAGGGAAGGCCCCAGCCAGGATAGTTGTTTTGAATCCGTGAAGTGTTGACATTCCCGTAGCAGAAGAGCTATAAACCAGCCATCAGGGTACTCCCATCATAGCAGCGACATGTGCACACTTTGAATTGGTAATACGGGCAGTTACTTAGGCAGAGGCTTTGTCCTAATGCATCACAACTGTTTGCGTAAACGCATCCAGAAGAATGAAAGATTACCCCGTAAGTTGGGTTTATCAGCTTGCTTTCAGTTTGCTTCATAGTTTTCATGTTTATATGCCTGCATCTCAACTCCCGAGTATGCTTAGCTTAGAATCTAGAAATTAATTAAACAAATAAAGAAAGGGGACAGTTGAGCACAAGTCCCAAGAAAGTTGTAAAGACTTACTGTTTTATACAGCAATTTATATACATTTCAATTACAGAACTAGTAAGTTGCATTAATGTTCTAAAGCAGAAAAGAAATTTTGCTCCCCTGTCCTTACCTTACCCTCTTGTGCATGTGGGCTCTGAAAGAGAAGCTGACTTGGGTGTTGCGGGCTAGGACTTTACTGCTGGGGTGGACAGCAAGATGCACTGGGGCCTGGCTGTCCAAAGCTGAAATGCTGGAGCTCCTGGGATTTTAAAGATAGATGTGCTAGAATACTTTGCTACAAAATATCATTGCTTAGAGAGTGGGAGGATATCCTTGATTGTAATGCAGTTCAATTTCTTTGAATCATTGCTAAACCGTATGTGCCTTTGTAGCATGGACCAAATAACTCTGTCTCTAGACAAAGCATGCAGATCATGAGAACTCACTTTAAAGGGTACAGTGTTTTCAGTTCTATCCTCCATGGTTTTTAATCACATAATAAAAGGTCTTGTGGAATACGTACAGTCTCTTATCCAGGTGGTGATTGCATTGTATCTGTGTATTGGCAAGGAATGTTAGAGCATCTTGTTTAGCTGTGTGTGGTATGTACTGGCAGTGAACAGAGAATGTAAAGCACATTCATACTGTGGAATGCATTACAATGATAATTTGCAAAACCTCGCTGAAATCAGTGGAATTATGATTTCCACTAGGGAAAGTATTAACATGTTGTTTGTGGCTATTAATGTACTCCATGGATATGCGTACATATATGTGGCTTCGCCAACACTGTGCAGCTTATAACCATCTGCACATGTAAAACTAATGTAACATTTAAAAAATATAAATACGCTTTTCTTTAACAATTTGAATGAGAGCATATAAGCATGGATGAGGCCTCTTAGAGGCTAAAAAGCTGTCATCCTTATGTTCGTTAAGGTTTTTTTTGAGTGTTAACATAACATGTCATTAACAATTTATGTGCATTCTGAAAAAAATTAATGCAATTAAGTATGCTTCAGGGATAGGACAGCACTTCCATTTCAAATTGGAATAGTTTCCTTTAAATATTTTTAGCTGAAAGGATGATTCAGAGCTGTGGAGAAAGATAGTTGCCAAACTGACAGTCTTGGATGTTACTGATTATCTCAGAACCTTAACCCTGCCATTCTTATTTGCAGCTCAGAAAGACATTAATGCCTTGTAAACTGTAGCAGGATTCGCCCTTCATATGATAGATCTCAGGGTTTTGTGGAGTCCTTTGACCAGTATCTTTGTTTAATTGACTTTTTTTGTAATGGCCTAAAATTTTACTCTTTTTAAAGAACGCTTACCACAACAGATCTCTGAACTTGACTTGCAATCCCACTGGTAAAGTGCCAAGTAATTCTAATAAGTCTTATGCCTTGAGCGAGTCATATTTCAGCTGTCAGAGGAGTTCTTCAGTAACTGTGGAACTGGGGTCACCAAAATCCCGTGATTCAAAATGTGAACTCCTCACCACCAGATGAAAGCTTTGTAGCTTTGTTGTCTATTCAAAGCAAAAAAGCCAGCATTTAAATTCTGTACGTGCGGTACTTAACAGTTGAAATTTGAGAACAGCAGAATAATGATGGGTGGATGAATAGCTATTTACTTTTTGGAAATTTACTTCTGGGTTGACATAATTGCCAACTTGCAGAAAAAACAATGTTTTGCTGCATGGTGATTTCACAAAGGAAACTGTCTTTCCCATCTCTTTTTAATCTGCTTTTAAAAAAAATGTAGCCGGATACTCTTGATTGTCTGTCTGTGCTGGAGACAATATGAAACCATGGCTAGGTGATGCGAGAGACTGCCTTGATGCACAAACATGCTCAGGTTTTACGGAGGTGGGTGTCTGTCAGCAGAGGGTAATATTCAGACCACAAAGCGCATGGTTCAACATGAGTCTTAGAAAATGTATAAGACAAACAGAACATTTGCTGTTCCAAAGGAAAACTGCTAAGGAGAAGCAGGCAGGTTAGCCCAACTCAAAAATGATAAACAAAATTAGAAAACACAGAAAGCTGAGGTCTCTGAGTGATAGTTGATATAAAATGAAGTTCTTGGAACTACCCTTTTATTCTTAACGTTGATTCTTACAACTGACATTAATGGAGCACAGGCCAAGCTCCACTGCAGTACTGATCCTAATTGAGTTTGTTGGAGATTAAATTGGTTTATCTGGATTTTACATCTCGGTATTGTGACCAGTATCCTCCTTTCTCAGCTCTTACATACCACTGTTGGTAACGTGACTTGGGAGCTATTCCTGCCCTTCAATATTGCTCCGTTTTCCCAGTGTCAAAGATATATTGAGATGTCGCTTTCAAACTCTGGTTCCCTGTACGTTCTGAAATGTGTACATTGTGTGTATTAAGTGTATTTGTCTTGTGTGTGTTGTTTTCTCATTCTTTTTTCTTTCCCTTTTTGTCACTCATTCTCTTTGTTTCTTTTTGTCTCATTCAACAGTCTAGTCTGTTAGACTGCATCTCTCAGTCTTGCATTAACGCCTGCTGTAACTTGGTTCCCTGGAGCAACAAGGTACCTTGCCCAAGAATGGGGCCATCCAGCTGCTGTATCTGCAGCTTGATGTTTCTTGTAGCGTTTAGCATATATGCAATCTGATTCTACTCTTAGCCTTCAGTCGTTACCTGATTCTGTTTTCTGTTTAAAAAAAAAAAAAAAAAAATCAAAAAACCAACTGGTCAACAGAAGAATGCCATGCCAGGTTTGTTTCCTTTTTTTTCCTCATTACGCCCTTTTGTTTGCAGTCCCATAGCCTCTCTTTACTTGATTCACTGAAATTTTTAATTCCTTTTTGTCTATTAACATTTGCCTCCTTTGAAACACCTCCCCTAATCAACACTGTATTTTATTTAATTGACTGCTTCATTGGTTTTTAATTAGCCAAGGAAAAACTTTACTAATTTGGAGTAATGTATTTTTCTTAAATGATCAATGTGAGCTACAGAGAGTACTTGCTCCCAGGCATGCAGTGTATCGTGTCTTTATTCCTTCTATGAAAATGTTTGTATGCCAAAAACTTATGGTATTTTTCCCCAGGTCCTGTCATTTGGCTTATGAACTTTGCTTTGATACAGTCTGTTAAGCTTTGGGTGAAAAAAACATTTATTTTGCTTATTCATGGAGAAAAAAAGTATATTTTTGCCACTGTACTCAGCCAAACTGTTAGTTGTCTCTTCAATATCTGTAAGAGACTGTTTAGTATCTTAAGTGAAAAACAACTGCCTGAGGGACTTGAGGAGGTCTGATCCAAAACTTTCCTTGGTGTTAAGAGGGGCTACAGCAGTTGGGCATTCCAGTTTGGAGGTCGGAATGCCCGAGAGCCCTGAGGTGTGGGCTCTGGCAGAACTGGAGATGCTTGGAGATGCTGGTGTCCTCGGCTGGCAACCTCCCTGCCCCTCTGCTGCAATTGCACGGCGTTGGGGGGGTTCTTGTAATCAACACATGTATTTTATACTGCTTCACCTTTTTTTTTTTAAATCCTGCTCGATTTACTGAGTTGAAACAGCAGTTCAAAGCATAAAATGCTAAAGCATAAGGAAGTGAGTGCAGAAACTCTTTGAACAAACAGAAGAGGGTCATTCTTAACTCACTGCATTCTCCCACTGTGCCACTGCTGCAGGAGTTGTGGATGCTGAACGTTTATATGGGTTCAGAAAGCAACTGGGTAAACTCTTGGGAGGTGGACGACTCCATCCAATGCTGAGAGAATATGTGGGGAAAGGTATCCACTGTATGTGTCTTTGGATTGAATTTTACCTGTCTATCATTGATTGGCCATTATTGTGAGGCAGATACTAGGTAGGCTTTTAAAGCTCTGAACTGATGCAGTACAACTCTTATGTTTTTAATCCCATTGCAGCAGAGTAGAGGAAGAAGAAAGGAACATTTCTGCAGTACTGGTTAAGGTGATAACTTGCTTGATGGTCAGTAATTCCTACTGACAAAAAAAAATAAATCCTTACTGAGACAGTGAAGGTTATGAAGTGCAGGATTTAGTAAGATAGCAAAGTTGGCAAGTGCAGCTGAAGATCTGTGGGTAGAAGTAATAAAAAGGAATATTCTGTGAAAATTGGGGGAACTGGACTGGGGACGCTGATCTGGGGACACTAAATAGAGCAAGACAAGAGTAACTCAACTGAAGTATAAATTCATGTAGATGCACAATGTGGCAGTGTTCTGTAACGCAGTGTGAAACGCCATGGGTTGAAGCAGGCACATAAAGCCACATTCTCAATTGACCAAGAAAGAGGAATTCAGAGGTTTGGGGCTTGGCTGGTTGTTTTTTTTTTTTCCTTGTTACTGTTTGCGTTGATCCCTTTGCGTTGGGTAAAAGGGCGCTTGAAGCCATCAAACCTAGTAAGAAATAGGATGTTGGCAAATAGTAATAGACAGCTGAATTGCTATGACTGCTGTCCACAACACTGATTTTTTTGTTTGTTTGTTTTCCCCACCTCAATTTTCTTTTTCTGAGAAATTACAGTTTTAGAAGTGATAGCAGTAGACAGTGAGGTAAATGACATGACTAGAAGTTTGAAGTTCCTTTGCTGAAAGGAGTTCTGCACCTCAAATACTGTGTTCAGTTCTGGGCCCCTCACCACAAGAAAGCCCTTGAGGTGCTGGAGCGAGTCCAGAGAAGGGCAACGAAGGTGGGGAAGGGTCTGGAGCACAAGTCTGGTGGGGGGCGGCTGAGGGAGCTGGGGGGGTTTGGTCTGGAGAAGAGGAGGCTGAGGGGAGACCTGATCGCTCTCTACAACCACCTGACAGGAGGGTGTAGCCAGGTGGGGGTCGGTCTCTTCCCCCCAGTAACTAGCGATAGGACAAGAGGAAACGGTCTCAAGTTGTGCCAGGGGAGGTTCAGGTTGGATATTAGGAAGAACTTCTTCACTGTTAGAGTCATTAGGCATTGGAATGGGCTCCCCAGGGAGGTGGTGGAGTCACCATCCCTGGAGGTGTTCAGAAAACATTTAGATGTGGTTCTTCGAGTCATGGTTTAGTGGGCATGGTGGCATTGGGTATGCGGTTGGACTTGATGATCTTTGAGGTCTCTTCCAACCATAATGATTCTATGGTTCTGTGTTTCTATTCTATGAAAGGTTAAATTTGTATGGATTGAATTTTTCTCCTGGAGGTCCCATCTTTTTTTCAAACACTGTAGTATAAACCCCTGGCATATAAAAAAATTAAGAATAAACAGGGTAGTTAGGCAGAGCATGCTGTGAGATATGCAGCATATACTCACTTGTCATCTGGGACCTCTCAAATAGCGTGAATGTACTGAGATAGTGAAACCCTTCTGTTGTATCTCAGCGGCTGAGTAGACTGGGGGAACAATATGTCAACAAGGCATCAGAGAGGCTCTGGCTTGTTGAGCCATATAGCTTGTCTATAGGGTATTTATAGGCCATTTTTCTCCTGGATTCTCATTTCAACTCCCATTTGAAAGTTCATGCTTTTTGCCCTCTAATGCATGCTCGTGGAAACACTGCAAGGTCCAAGACGGCTGCTTTCACATTCCACTTTTCCCTCTTCCCATGTCCGTTAGAAAAAACAAATTCCAACAAATTTTCCCAAGGAGACGAATGTAACATCCCATTGCAACGAAATTTTACTATTTAAGTCTAGCAATAAGGTTGTTATGAATCAGAGATGCTTTAAAAATGGGACAAGTTCTTTCTATTCTATTACGAATGTAGTGTTTATGATCGGCTTTGCTAAGCAGATACATAATCTCAAAGTGCTGCCTAGTCCACTTCTATTTCTGATCTAATAGACTTTACTTGAGAAGACATTCCTGTTCCACAGCAGCAATTCACTGCATCTTCTGGCAAGCTTCTGTGTTGTAAATCTGGGAATGTTTGCAAAAATATGTAAATCCTTATTTTCATCCTGATTGTAGAGGTAATTTTCTGTGTTAAGAAAGCTGAAAGATGAGCTGATGTTTTCCTTTATGTGCAGAAAAGCTGTGTACAGCTTTGTCATGCCCATTAAAAGTTACCTTCACATCAGAAAAACCCTATAGCACTATCATTGTGAGTACTTGGGAAGAATAAGTAGAGACAGTCATGCTTCTTCAAGGAGCCATGGAAAGTGTACCTACAGATGAAATGTGAACATTTATTCCTACACCCAAAACCACCCACAACTCTTTTTCTGAATTATTTTGTAGAAGTACACAGCACTGTCCTGTGGTGGAAAATCATTCTTACTGACACAGTGCTTTGAACTCAGCTGCACAACTGGGTTTCCAATTGCTTTTCATTCATTATATGCTCACTGGGCTGATTCATTTCTGTCTGTCTTCATCTGTCCTCAATATTCTCAACTTTTAATTCTGTAAAATTTCTTATTGTTGCTCCACATTTATTTTTTTTTTAAATATAATTAGGATTCCCTTGTAGTAGGTGCTTCAGTTCTTCAGTGTTTCTATCTATACCTATACTGTAATGGAAAAAGTGTTCTGCTTGGTTTGGATAATTTCTTGAAAAGGAAGGGTGGCTTTGTAACCAGTATCTCTGCCACTTGACATATTGGAGTAGCCCCTGGTGACTGCTGTGTGACAGTCGAGACCTGGCACTGCGGTATCGTCTGAATGTGACAGATATTGATGCTGACAGTATCAACCAAGCAGAGTATCCGAAGGTCACTGGAGCTCGTCCTCACCCCACACAAACTGCAAAACCAGGCTTGAGGTGTTCTCCCTTGGTGCCCCGATTCAGGCAGAGAAAAAGCAATTTATAGAACAAGGAGAGCGATATTTCTTTGCCTCAAGCCCTCATTACTCTGTTAAGTGCACACCCACGTGCCCGCCGTGACACTGGGCTAGCACACCCCTGCCACGCTCCTTACAAACCCTTTCTCTCTCTCAGCTGTTTTTCAACCTAATTGGGGGGAAGCATGGCCTGGAGGCAGCTTTCCCTTCTGCAATGGCATTTCTCTCCCAAATGGCTTAAGTTAATGAAGGTTTTTATGAATTTGAGTGATTTGTGGTGGGAAAGTCCTTGTGTTTGTGTGTAAGTACATTTACATATGCGTGCCCACACTGTATATGTGTATAAACAGTGTATGTACACACACTCATAAAAAGATAAGCATTCACATTATATTTTTATAGAAATTTTAGAGCCTTTTAAAAACTGAAAAAAAATTGTAAAATACTGAAAAAATACTGGTGTCCTCCAAGAAGCTTGTGTTGCAAGAACTGCTGGGGCTTTCACCGGGCTGAGCCCCTTCCTGCAGAGCAGCATCTATCCCATCCGCAGCCTCTCCAGTACAGAAATGCAAGACTGACAGAAATGGATTATTTCCTCGAAGAAAAGCTCCCACGTTTCAAAGTGTGGTTCCAAACCACAGGATGATATTAGTAATAATTCCATTGCCTAAAATGTTTTTTTTTATTATTACCTGAAGAGATTTTACTTCTCTAGTCTTTTACTTTTTGCCTGGAAGTTGCTTTTATTTTTATTTTTTTATTAAAATGTTGGACCCTATCTTAAGGGAGGTAGAATCGAAGCATAATAGACTAAATAAACGGTTATTTATTTATAAACAGTGGGAACTCCTTATGATAACAGGAAGAAAATTAAAATCAGAAATGATAAACAGTGGTTGCGGCACAGTGTCTGGGCATGTCTTTTGTATAGCACTCATCTTCAAGAGGAAACAGATCGCTTAGACTGAAAAGCTGTAATAATAATAATAATAATTTTTAAAAATCTAGCTGTTATAAATAGCTGTGATGTTTCTTTCCATGCCCGTGTACAGCAGTGAGGGAGTAACTACTAGCAGAGGCAGTGATTCAGTACTGACAACCCTATTTTGGGTAATAGTCTGCTCTCCAAAGGGAGAGAAGAATAAAGAAAAGGGATGAAGGACTGTAGCTCTGGTCTGGTGGTGGAGAGGGAGGTCTCAAAGCAAACCCCCCTGAAGCAGAGGAGTTGGGAGGCTACAGAGAGATCTCTGCTCGTGCTGATACACAACTTCTCTTCCATGGTTTTCCTCTCTTTTTTTGTTTTGCCTGGGGGCAGGAGGAGGCAGAGGTTGGTTTTCCTCCAGGTCTTCCTTCCTCTCCTGCTCCTGGGATTCCCCGGGATGCCTTGCTGGCAGGAGCGGGGATGAGAGAAAGCTGCTTCTCCCGGGTTTGCTTGGGGCTTGTGACCTTCTGCTAGAAGCCCCAGGGATGTCTTCTGCGTGCTCTGAACCTGCCTCTCCTCGGGATTTGCCATGGACTAGTACTGTCCTGTCAGTAAAAAGCTGTGTTATGGCTCTCTCTGCCGTTACTGGCATGCGAGCAAGGACCTTGTAATGAAAATCGATTTGGTCCCCAAAAGCAAATGGCTTTTTTGGCTTATAACTTTGTCAAGTGGAAGGATTTGCACAAGCTGTTGCAACCTCTTTTTCTGGTGAAGAAAGTTCTTTTTGTTTCATTGTTTGGGTTTTGGGTTTTTTTTAAAGTGAAACACCCATCATGGAGGTGAAATCTGCAGCTTTGAGAAGGAATGACTTTTAAAATGACCGTTCTATGGCTACTAATATTGTTAACTCTTTCACCCTTGAAAAATGGGTAAAATGAACCCCTTGACGGTGCCATGTTTCTCCAAGGCCAAAGCAAAGTTACTCTTGCTGCCTCACGGATCAGTGGCTGATGATTTTGTAGAGCACATTGACTGGTTCTTTTACTGAACTCTTCCAAAATCTGTCTTTTCATAGCAGGCTTCTTGCTGAGACCTTACGCGTCCTTACAACCTCATACAGCTGGAGCAAAGCAGTGCTCAAATCTCACCTTCCTAACAGGGCACTAGGAGGGGAGAGGGGAGGGGAAGGCAAACCGCGGTGCAGTGAGAGGGGTTCCTCGCTCCAGGGACGATGTCAGTCTCTGAGATAATTAGGTTCTGTGCTTTGCTAGGCTCAAGGTCACTCTTTTCTCTCTCATTCGTATATATTCCTTCGACTGATCAGATGTCTTTGATAAATACAATCTAGGTGTTCTGCTGTGGGTTGGCGGTTTGTGTGTTTTTTAAATGACTCTCTATGTAGGTTGAAGTCTGGTATTTCTCAGGGGTTATTTTGCTCCACAAGCAGTCGTGCTGATTTCAGCTGCAATGCCTTAGTAATACAATAGTCCTGCCTTTTTTTTTTGTTGGTAGCAAACTTACATGATTGCATGTATTTCTCTTTGCAGTGTCTCGCCTCTTCCCCAGAAGAAGAAAAGCTTATTACCATCAAAAGGCCTAAAACTCCAGTTTCAAATGAATTATCAGATATCAACACCCAAACCAACTGGACTAAGTCACTCCCACTGCCAACGCCAGAAGAGAAAATGCGACAACAAGCGCAGGCAGTCCAAACAGATGTGGTTCCTATTAATGTGACTGGTAGGCTTTTAATTTCAGTAATTACATTACACTGATGAGGGAGGGAAGGGATAAAAGGGGATCCATACAGTTAGATAGTATTTGGACACTCATATATTTGTTGCATGAATTTTAAATTACTTATTGCACCTTTCTGTGAAAACAACATTTTGTGTTTAATAGTCTGTCTCTGAACTTAATGAGAAAACTTTGAAATCCCTTAAAATTATCATGAATGAAGATAGTCTACACAATGTGGGCTTGAAACAGCATTAGATATTCATGAAATACAGGAAGATGATTGATAAATAGCAATGTTTTGCTGTGGACGGCTCTAAAGATACGTAATGGAAATTGTGTTTTATGCAATGCTAATGATATTTCAGGATTTTCTTCTAGGAATTTTATGTAAGGAAGGTTATCAGGGACTTCTGTATTCCAAAGACTAAATGTTACAAAATTCCTGAAAAAAAACTCTAGGGTCTGATTTTTATCAGCAACAAGAGGTTTAGGTGTCAAGGAGAGTAGGGTAAGAACAGCAAAAGTTAATGGGGCTACATCTCCAAGCAAGGCTCCTGGTAAGACACTCCGGTTATGTGACTGTAGTCCACATTTTCTTGTTATGAACTGCGTATTAACTCTTCATTTTGAAAATGCTCTTTGGTTTTACAGTTGTAGAATTCCCACTCTGTAGAAGTTAAAATATGTTAAAACGTAATGCTGAATAGATACTTTGTTGTGTGTAAATAGAATTTCTGTGAAAGATTGAATTATCATTTCAGTTTAATAATCCTTCTTTTTCTGCACAGTATCAAGATTGTCTATTGTTAGTTAATTCAAATAACTGACCGTTTGCCTGCCAAAACCAGGTTGATACTCAATATCCAATTTATTTCAAATACCATATGGCGTACTCTGACTCCACGCTCACTCTTAGTCAATAGCTTGCAATGTTTGGTTTTGTGTTGAAAGTAAATTAGGTGTT